CACTTAGTAGTATTGGCTTCCATGATTCTATGTTGCCCTGCCTAGAGCAATCTGTACATAGTGTCAATATCACCAAAGAGCATATATATATATATATACTTGCACAGTGGATATTACTCTATCAACTAGCTGATGATGATACCTTTGACCCTTCAATACTTGTGAAAAAGGGATTCTTTCATTATATTTATTTATTTATATATCACAACCTGAAGGTGAAGATGGCCTTATCTACCAAGGATTTCATCAACTGGAAGGACAAGTCAGAACTGTTGAATATAGAGTTTGGTGATATAATTAGATATCATATTTATAATGATCTATTTCATTACTGAAATCTGCATTTGATAGTTCTGACTTATCCTTCTAGTTGATAAAAGCTTTAGTAGATATGGTTGCCTTTGCCTTCAGATTGTGGTAGATAAATAAATAAATAGAGTAAAACCCCTTTTTTACAAATGGTGCAGGGTCAAAGGTATCATCATCAGCTAGTTGATAGAGTAATATCTATTGTATAATAATTTATATATACTTTTTGATGGCAATAGTACTATATATAAGTTACTCTAGGTAGGACAATATAGAATCACAGAAGCCAATATTACTGTGCAATATCATTATAACTGTGGTGCTATAGGTAGTATATATTTGAAAAATTTATTAAATAAATTGAAAATAAATAGTAAGAATAGTAAGAATACACAATAATATAAAACTGAATAGCAGTGGTAATTTTATATTAAAATTAACTTGTTTGTATGGTTTTGGGGCTGCCAGTATTGATATGACATGTTTGTATTATGAGTAATAGAGCAAAACCTAAGAAATTTATCTATGCGGCTGACAAATTTGCCTTTTATAGACGAGAATTAGTAGTATGATCAGATCCTAGGTGATTCTATCTATGTGATGCCCCGAACACCACAGATACAGTCTCTCAAATCAGCCTATATAGACTGGCTCCATAGCGACCCAAATGTTACTGCTTACATGTGTATGAAATCAATTGATTTATAAAATAAATCTGCAAACATTGCATGATCGCTGAGCAAGCTACATGACCTCCTTCAGCAAGTGCTCGTAAAGATTCATAGCGCTTTAATATATGGTTCTGGGCTGGCTTTTTCAAGTGCTTTTAAGAGTTTACAGAGCGAGTCCCGCATACTCGCTTTGATGCTCAAAAGTGCTCGGATTTTTCAACCAATTAAGAGGGCTCCAGCGGACGGCCAAACACCTTTGGACTATAAAATTTTATACAGAAGCAATAAATATGGTAGTTAAAAGACTGAAGGGGTTATAGGCTGGCTGACTTGAACGCTATGTTGCCAATTGCGGACGCTGCATCAATCGCTTCTTTGCTAGCACCGTAGATTCCTGCTGCGTTCGTGTGAATAATGGCATATTGTTCACCCTGGATCGTGACGGCTGTAGTAATGAGGCACAACTCAGTTTCCATCATCGGCAGAATATTCTCACTGCTGACAAAGCGACCATACGTATCAACAGCGAATACATCTGTTAGTTCAGCACTCATAGCGCTAGTCTCATCGAGCAGCCGGTCCTTTTGATCACCATATATCTGATACGCGTACTCATGACCGCGCTTAGCAATGAACTCGTAATTTTTCTCCTGTTCGGTCCGATACAACTTCCTGGCTAGCTTCTCCTTGATATTCTCATGAACAGGCTTCATCAGCGCTCCGAGTGCGTAATGTGCCCTGGCTGTTCCAGTAATAGGAATTGATTTTATTATCGCCTGACCGGAGAGCTCAATGAAGGCAACAAAATCATTTTCACTGAGGCTACTCTCACAGTACTTGAGTAGACTGACAATCCCAGTCCTGTTCATCATGGAACCAAGCGAACAAGCCTAAAGGTATGGAATCGAGAATTTGATATATAAAGCCGAGCAATCTCAGCGCATCTAACGCCGCGGCAACTGTGTCTAGTTGGGTGAAGTTGAGCGTGCTGCTACTCGTCATTCTGTTAAAAGTGCTGGAGAATAAGAGAAACACGGCTACAACAAGATTAGGCTCCTTGTGGATGCTTTTATCATGGGCCATAGCTCTGCTGCCCACGGATTCCCATGGCGAGCACCTTGTGCCGCCAGTGCATTTGGCAACCAGAGAGTAGGGCGTATTCCCACAGCCATGCTCCGCAATGGAACGAATAGCACCATACCCTATCCGCAGGACTACGCGTGGTATCTCTATGTGCCATGCCAAGTATCCAGTCCTCAGTGGTACAAGACTTCACTACACTATGTTCATATACAGCTTCATTCCTTGATTAGGTAGTACTAAAGAGGATTGCGTACATATGGCTTCCTTCATTGGCGTCTAGTTGCACCCATCTACATTTCAACAGCCGCTACACTAATTGAAAAGGTGAGCGGCACAGCATGCTCAATTGTTGAGCCAGCGCTGGTTTGCCTTCTTCAGGTTAGAAAAAGTATTGTTCGGCAGCAGTCAATAATTACCCAAATTGTCCTGGCTGTCGTGCTTGCAGCAATAGCCGACTTGTCTAGAAGTTATTCACACTGCAAATGCGATACACCTCACCGGTATTGCGACAGATAGGCTCAAGTCCACCCTACTCTCCAACCATGTTACCCATGAAGGAAACGTGGCGTCGTGCCGATACTACATAACACGCCACCTAGCGTGAAGCATCTGCATCAACTCTTGATCGCATCTGTTGCCAAAGCGACGCACACTAGCATCGCTGGCGAGGGTCTGACCATAGGAAACCCGTGGCTCTGCAATTTGGGCCATGCGGATTCAACCAGGAGGCTCTTTGCAGGGATCGACACAAAACCGGTAGCAAGCAAGACCTGATGCTGGGCTGCAATAGCGAGGAGAAAATGCACTATTTCGACAACAAAAAACAATCACCAATGTAGACAAGAGTCGCCCAGAATCCCTGCCCCGCCTGCTTCTGCTTTGCTTTTTCAATTCACCTACAACAATTTGTTCCCTTCATCTCGGTTTAACAGTAACAAGTATCCGCAAAGGCGATAAAAGGAACTCCGCTTCACCTCTGACCGATACGTTCCGGCACCAGTAATTAGACATTTGCGCTAATGGCAGATACAAATGGTATCAGAAACAATCGGTCCAGCATACAGCCGCTGGGCTCGCCCCGGAACGTCGTGCTGCGTATGTCTGTAAACCCAGACAGACCGCCACAGTCGCCAGAAAATCCGGTAGGGCGAGAGCTCGATCCCCGCAAACCAGCGCCCATTGGCCTGTATGAGCCTATTGATGAGAAGACGCTCATGGCGCATCCAGAGCGGTTCACCAGTGATGGGCTCCGGCGCAAGGAGCGCATGTACAGGCTGTACGAACACGAAAACTGGCACCTGTTCCGTGGGCGGCTGGTGACTGGAAACAAGCCTGTTCCGTTCATAGCAGCAGTGTGCATGATTGCCGCCCCAGTTGTCCTATTTGCGATATTCGTATGTCCGTATCTGTGGACAGACATGCACAAAGCTGCGGTCGTGGTGTTTGCGTATATTACTGCACTGGTACTGTCGTCCATGATGATGGCATCATTATCCGACCCTGGCATCATCCCACGAAATTTAGACGCCATATCAGCAGACAGCATCGGCACAAGTGGCAGCACAATGACGCTTCCAAAGAACCCTGAACAGGGCATATTCTCAGGGAAGGTGCAAATTGTCGAATCCCCCAAAGGGACCAGCGATGAGTGGTCTAGCAGCAGCCGGAGCCCATTGTTCGCTGAATCTCAGCAGCTGTCTATGCAGTACTATGAAAAACTGCCGCCTCCCTGGGTCCCTGTGAAGGCTCCTGGAAGCCGTGGTGCGCCACTCAGTGTTTATGACCCAAAGCCGCTCACCCGCGGGCACAGATCGATGTCTGACCCGTCGCACCGGTTCCCGCCCATTACAAAAGAAGTCCGAATCAACAACATTGTCGTACGGTTAAAGTATTGTGAGACGTGCAGAATCTTCCGCCCACCGCGTGCCTCGCACTGTAAATATTGCGACAATTGCGTTGAGAACGAGGACCACCACTGCATTTGGTTAAACAACTGTGTTGGCCGCCGCAACTACCGCTATTTCTACACGTTTGTGGGCTCGACAGTCGTCTTGGCTCTTTACATCGCATCGCTCAGCCTAGCCCGGCTGTTGGTGCCGCTCAGCAACCAGCCTGGCGGATTCGGCGGCGATTTGTCGCTCAAGGACATGATTTCGCGCCACCCTGTGGTTCTGGCCTTGGTCATTTACGCTGTCTTGCTTGTGTTGCCGCTTTCTGGCCTGTTCGTCTACCACACTATCATGATCAGCCGCAATTTAACTACGCACGAGGTTATTGGGGCCAAGCACTCTGGCAGATTCGACGACAAGCCCGATGCGAGGCTAAAGAAGAATGTGCTTCTGGCGAAGGCCATAAGCCCTTACTCCCGTGGTTCGTGTCTGAGCAACTGGGCTGCCATACTGTGCGGGCCATCTATGCCTCCGAACATCCAGTGGCGCAAGCGTGTGGACCCAGAGGGCATAGAGGAGCTATTACCACTGCATCACTGATCACATTTATATTAGACAATTGTATTTATTTTTATCTTCATGACAGAATACTGGTAGCACGACTACACTAAAAAGGTCCTGGCATAAATGTTGAGGGTGTGGTGTTACTGCGAGTATATCTTGTTAAATGATTCCCAAATCACTTGGATAGTGTGCTTTCTATTGCTGTACATTAACACTGACATAAAGCTAGTAATCTGTCTGTTGCATTAGCTAGCAGAGGATACATTTGACGGTGCGAGTTTATAATCATGCGCATGAATGGTGGTACATTTGCAAATATGCGCTGGCTGCATAATGCAACATGGTCATTTATCAGCGGTCATCTCTCTAAAGGATATATAGTGAGGTCAGATTGTCAACTGGCCAGGTCCTAATATGGCCACTTGAGGATTCACTGACTACTGGTGGCTCACTTTGGCATGATTTGGCAACATCGCCGTAAAATGCGGCTAGACTTTACAACATGTGGAATCAAAAAATATCGAGTTGCAAAACGATAGGATTCAGTAGCTGGCATTCCCTATCAGGATGATAGGGGTGGTTGGGGGGGTTCATAATGAACACGACACTTCCTTTGCATTGCAAATCCCAGAACATGGGCAGCATGCATGGGGGAGACTTGCATGATATGCAGCTGCACATCTGCAGGTATGTGTCGGCCAATCGGCAAGGAATGGCACACGCTTGTGCAGAGACTGCAGGAAGCCAGAGGCCTCTGAGCCGGCAAGAGACGCTTTTTCTTGCTAGTTGGAAGAAATAGCCGGGACAGCGGCGCGTGGCTTGAATGCAAGTGCACTTTTGGTGTAGTGAGTGGGACGTGTGCAAAGAACAATCCAGGCGTAGCAGTAGCGGGCGTGAGATAGGAAGCCCCTCTGGTGTGCGTGACCGGGACAAATAATGCATTACGTAGAGAGACTACGGGGCACCCAGGGGGTTTGTGTTTCGGAAGAACGGCCATAGCCTTTGTGGTGGGCGGATTTGCGCTTTCACATGACCCAAGAACACAACAATGGCAGCGAAAAATGCGTAATTTGCAGGCTGGCGTGTGCGCGCCTGTTTTTTTACTGCCGCCAGCTGGTCTATTCATTCGTCCCGTAGCATGCCGTGTGTGCCCGAAATTCCCCGTATCGATGATGCACAGCGTTTATCGGATTGAAGCGAGTAAAAAGGGAGCCGAGCCAAGCAGATATAAAAGGAAGAGGACGCCCGAGTTTCTCCCTCTCGTCCTTCATCCTCCATCCAAAAAGCCAACTCCTTTATATAAATCAGCCTTCAAGTATTTCTTCCACCAAAAATGAACGTCGTACAGACTCCTCAGGCACCGCTGGTTAGCAAGCCGGCAGTGCAACAGCAGCAGCAGCAGCAGCAACAGCAGACAGCGAAAAGCTCTGGAGCTCAGGATAACCTGACGAACCAGATCTACAAGGAAGTGTATAGATCGGCGAGCAGTGGGCAGGCAGCGACCTCGCACAGCGAGTACTGCGAGTGCCAGGGATCTGGAGTCGGGTGCCAGTGCGCGTCGGTGTGCACCTGCAACTAGGGCAATATGAGTTTAGCATATTTGTTTTTTTTGTTCAAATGACATTATTTAGTTTGTATTGGTAAGAGAGGTGGGTTGCACAGCATAAATTGACCACCAGTGAAATGGCAGCATATTGCGCAGAGCATTAGCCGGGGAGTAGCACTGGAATATGCAGCGGCAGCGTGTCTCGGCTGCGGGTGGCGAGAAAAATGAACGCGAGTAGTATGTGGGCAAGCCCACTAGGGGGGGCGGTGAAATGAGCGACAGTGCTATAGGCTTTTTTGCTGGAAAGGGCGATTCAAGTAGGGCAGAGTTGACGTCACATGGCACCAAGGTCATATTTTCCTTGCCTGAATTTCAGGATATTTCGCCGATTCAGCGAGACGCATCGTGGGATCAGTGGATTTTTTTATAAAATAAACAAATGCACAGGTTTTTTTTCGAGAGATATTGTTGCATTTCTTTTCTTTCCCATTTGCTTTTGTAATTATGCGCGACAGGCTGCTAGAGTCGCTACAGAGTTTCAGTAAATGCACAGATACAGTAGAGCAGCAGGTGCTTGATCGGCTAGCAGCAGACAATAGCATAGAGTTTGCACTCAAGCTTGTGAACCAGACAAACCAGCTGTTGAGCAAAGCAACCGAGGAGATCCGGCAGGCACACAAGAGCACAGATAAAACAGTAGATGGCGTGGAGCACCTAGTGCGTGTAGCAGTGGCGGGTTTCCGGTGTTTGCACGAAAACAGGGGCAGGGCTGGATTCAAGGCGTTGGCGCTGGAGAAGACACTGGGGAACTTCACAAGCCTATGTGTGAACGCGCGGCTGGGGCGGCAGGCATGGCAGGGGCTGGTATTGCTGCGGCAGATGCTGGAGGAGCACGCAGAGACAGAACAGGACGGGAGAGGCTCGCGACTGGCGCGCAGTCTGCGGCGGCTGAGCATCAAGACGCCCGAGGCCAACATGGTGCAGTTCCCGAGGTCGTACCATGGCACGGCGATGTTCAATAATCTGGTGGCGACGCTCCTGTGCAATGTGCTGCGGGTGCTGGCAATGGAGCCGGACATGGCAGAGCAGGCGACAGTGGCGCTGGCACAGCGCAAGGACAGCGCATTGGAGTGGAGTATGGGCGATGGCTCAGAGGCATTGCTGGATATCTGCTTCCGGGCGTACTCGGCGCTGGCTACCGGCGAGCATGCCCTGGAGGTGCGGGTGTTGGCGCTGACGGCATATGCGATGACGGGCAAATGCGACGGGCGCGTGTTGCTAAGACACGCAGTGAATGCGGCGACCCGACATAAGGGCAATGATGGCTTGGTGGTGGAGTTCTACCAGGCACTGATGCTGGAGATGGCCAGCTATATGGCGAAACTGCCGGTGGTGCCGGAGCTGGTCGAGCTGAGTCGGCACCGGGCGGCTGTTCTCCTGCACACAGCGGGGATTTCGGCAGCACTTGATGCGTGCCAGCTAGTGGTGGGCGGGCAGGCAGGCAGCTCTGCGCTGGCAAGACTCGTCGCGGCGTTCCTGTCGTTTGAGGTGCTGGCCATGCACTTCAGAGAGACCGGGGAGACTAGGCATGTGGCAGAGGTAGCCAATGACGTGCGAGAATTGGCGTTCGATGCGGTGGGCGGGAAGGCGCGGCATACGCTGAACGGGTGGAACAGCCTGGCGACGTGTGCTGATGGTGTGCGGCGGGCGGCCAAGGCTGTGGTGGCGGCGGTGCGGGCGTCGGGAGATGCAGGGCTGGCGCAGCATGTGGTCCACGTGCTGGATGTGGCCGGACGCACATACCAGGCGTACGTTTCGCGTGGGGCACTGGCCAAGGCAGGAGCAGATGCAGCGGCGGTCCACAATGGCCACGCCGAGACATACCTGGTGTCGCTGCAGCTGCAGGTGGAGTTTGGCGATATGGACGGCTCGGCTCTGCAGCGGCACAGCGATCTTCTGCTGATGCTGTGCGGGAAGCGGCTCTGTAGCCGCGAGTTCCTGCGCAGCCACTCGACCGTGTTCTTCAACACTGGAGCAGCGCATTACCAGCAGAAGATGCATGCATGGGCGGCGCGCGCGCTGGAGTTTGCAATTCAGAGCCTGACCATGTGGCTCGACAAGGGCAGTGACGACCATGTGGTTAAGCAGCTGTGGAAGCGCTACGAGGTTCTGGCGGCCGCGTATCAGGCCGACAGCAGGTATGAGGAGGCGGCAGGGGCACTGGCGCGGGCGGTTGCATGGACGGCTCGGCGGTTCGCCGATGAGCTAGCAATTGAGGAGGCAGGGACGTCGGTGGTTCTGCCGCCGACCAGCTCCTGTGTGGGCGAGGCGGCGGCCCGGCTCGTGCAGTTCATCGAGCAGTATGTGCGGATGAGCGCTGGACGGCTCGCGCGCGATCCTGATGAGCTGGCTAGGCCAATGGCGGTGCCGGAGCACCCGCGGCTGGTGAATGCGTGGATGCGCGAGGCAGAGGCGCATCTATGGCGGGCGGTGGGCGTGGAGGGAGCGCGACGGGCGGTCCTGGAGCATGCGCTTACGGAGTACGAGAACTGTAGTGCCTTGGCGTCTGCGCGGTGCCTGGTTGCGTTGGCCACGATGGATCGCGACCAGGGGCGGGACACCGAGTGCAGCCAGCGGCTCCAGACAGCGCAGGAGGTAATGCAGCGGCAGCCCGAGGAGAGCATGTATGTAGTGGGAGTGCGGGCTGAATGCCTCGCATGGCAGGCGGTCATGCAGATCGAGCAGGGAGCGGCTGCGAGCAAAGACCTGGATGAGTGCGTGCGGCTGTGGGCGCAGCTTGCTAGCGGTCCGCTGGACCCAGGGTTCCTGCGCCAGGTGTCTGGGCTGATCCAGCACGTGCTTGACCTGCTATTAGCACGGCGCCTGCACTCGAAGTACTGCAGTGTGCAGGAGGTGCTGCTGGCAATGGCGACTGCGTGCGAGGGCAGTGACGCGGAGTTTGCACCCATCGCCATGGAAAGCCTGGTAGGGCTGGGCACCGGCCGCATGCTGCTGGGCGACATGCAGGCGGCCGAGAGCCACTTCCAGATGGTTACCGGGCGCTATGCCCCGGGCGTGCTGCCGCCACATATCGAAGTTGCGGCTCACCTGGCAGTGGCCGAGTTCCGCATTGCATGTGGCAAAACCGAGGCTGCTGCGTTGGCGCTGGCAGCGGCGCGGGACCAGGCAGTGGCCCGGTTCGATGAATTGCAGGAAACAAAGGGGAAGCAGCAGCCGAGGGCGCGGCCCACAACGCTTCTGGTGCTGGCACGCGCGGCGCTGGTATACTCACGGCTGGCGCTCTCGCAAGGCCGGCTGGCGGACGCTGTGGAACTGGGCGTGCAGGGATACCGCGTGCTGTGCAGTCTGCTGCGGACGCTGGCGCAGCAGCACGCGACGCCGGAAGACGACGACGACCCGTTCAGCTCGCCGGCCAAGGCGCCCGCCGACGACTTTGCGTTCCTGCAGTTCAACGATAGCTGGGCATTGCAGCGCGCGCTGGTTGAGAGTACCCTGTATGTCTCTGGTCTGTTCTCGGTGCGCGGTAGCGTCAAGGAGTGCGAGTATTTCCTCAGCAAAGGCCTGGAAATCTGCGCGCGTATCTCTATGCCTCTGCCTAAGCGGCTGCTGGGTGTGCGGCGCATCGACGTATTGTCGCGTCGCCATGCCTGGGAGGAGTGCAGGCAGCTGCTAGCCTCTAGCAAGGATGGGGGAGAGATACTGGGCATTGACGGTGTGCGGGCGCTAGTGATGCTGGGCGATGCGTGGTGGAGATGCGGCGACTGCCAGCATGCAAGCCAGGCGTACGAGCAGGCGCTGGAAGCCAGCACAGGCGACGGTCTGGCGGTTATGCGTGACGACGTGCGCGTGCGACTGCAGCTGCTGTCGGGCGCCTGGCTTCCGGAGGAGATGTCGGTGGAAAGAACCATCGACCAGCAGCCGGAGCACCTGCTGATGCTGGCCAGCCTGCGATTTGCCCGGCTGCAGAAGACGCTGGCGGAAATGGGCCTTGCACAGGTGCTCGATTCGGCTCTGTTTCTGGCCGGTGCAACGCCCATGGCTGAGTCGCGAAGCGAGCCAATTGCCCAGGAACTGGCGGCTCTGGATGCGCTGCTGGAGCGCGCATCGGCAGCAGCCATTGCCGTGGGCTCGGCACACAGCGTGCATGAGAGCGGTCATTTGCTGGTGCTGGTGCGTGTAGTGGCCGATGCACTGGGCACGCATAGTTCTTCTCCCACTGCAGCGGCGCGGATTCTCGACAACGCCCGCAATATCACCGTGGCACGCGAGGCCGCCGTGCGCTATCACGATGAGTGCCCGCCACGGCCCGTCGTGTGGCCGACTGAAATCCTGCAGCCGCCCGGTGGTCACGAGGACACCCAGGAGATCGCCGGTGTTCTGCCGCATACCTGGGTGGTCTGCGGGTTGTCGATAGACCGCACGCGCAACCTCCTGTTCCTGACACGGTATGAGCGTGGTCGTGCGCCCGCCGTCCTGTGCCTGCCTATGCGAGCCCTGCCTGCCGGTCTATCGGACGATCCATCCGGGACTGTCTTTGACAATGCGTATGCACAAATGGCTGCCATTATTGCCGAGTCTGACCAAACCATGAGGGTCGCCAATGAGTGTGTCTCGGATGCCGACAAGCTGCAGTGGTGGCAGCAGCGCACTGAGCTTGATCGC